GTTTCCGCGAATATAACACCCGGTCGTTTATTAATTTATTTTTTATTAATAATTAAGTACTTTATTTATGAAAATAAATAAAATTAAAAATAGATTTTAAACATAATTATTACAGTAAATAAATGCTCGAATTGTGTCTCATTATTGTTTTAGTACAACGGGACATTTTTAATTATTTTATTATTTGACGGGGTAATTTTTGAACAAAAACATTTTCTGTATTTTTTACTTTATATGTCTTGAAGTAGCTTCTTTAACAAAATTAAATATTTTTAAAAATTAGTAACCAAAACGTTAAATTTTCTTGGAGGAGTTTAATTCGCTAATATGCCTTACTATAAACCAAGAAAATTTCTAGTCGGGAATATGTGAATAAAACTTCGTGATGATCGGTTGAGTAAGTTAAGACGTGAAATGGTAATAAACAAACAAAAAAAACAAACACAAATTACCATTTATAATATTAGTTAGGATTCTCATGCTTATTCAAAAATGCAATCGTTTGATTTTATCTAATTGTATTTTTTCTTTTCAGAGATGTATGTACTGAAAATATTTGTCAAGTTTCTTCATTTGATACCTGTTTGATTAATTCTCGATGAAGTTGGGTATGTTTTTATTTGTATAAGTACTTTTTATTAGTTATTTGCGATTTTTTCGGTGTTCAATTTTATTCCCCACTGAAATATAGCACGTATTAGTGTTTTTCCTCCAAATTTTCCTTGATATGTAGGTAATAATTTATTAATACTTAATGTAGGTACTTATCTTACAATAAGTGGTAAACCGTTCCATTTCTGCATATTTGCTCATTAAGCTTAGCCTAGTTGAATTAGCAATAAGGATCCCTAACGATAGTACAGTGTAACACAATCGGTGCCCGAGTTAGTACCTAAAGCTTGGGGCTGTAAAAAGCAGTGCTGTTAATATGGCAAAGAATTGTAAATGATTAACATTATCTTTTTCCGAAAGAGAACGCTTCGATTGTCTCAAAAGAAATTTTAATGAATTTGGTCATGTAGTCAATATTATGACATTGAATGTAGTGATATTTAGGTATATTTCAGTGTTTTAATCGAACTTTCGATTAGTACACTAGACAATTCATATTTCTGCTTTTTGGTATGGTTTTTTTGCGATTGTTACGATTTCAGTTTTTATAATGTAAATATAATGTACATTTCTGTGTTATGGGAGCTTGGACTATAATAACGGTCTTCGTCCCTATCATAAAGTGAACTGTTAAGGTCCAACTATTCGACCTTCAGCTTTTATTGTTATATAGGTATATTGGCTATGAATAAATGCAGTTTTTACGGTTACAAGACAGTTGCTTTTCACAGATTTTTATCAACACAATAATCTGGTACAAAGACCAAGAAATTGAAACATCTAACGTTATTGTGCGATGAACTTGATTCTATCTATAGTATTGAAGAAATAATTTTTG